TTTTGCTTCAACTCTTGGATAGCTCTGAATATTAGAGGTTTTCATTCCCTATCAGGTAGTTCTAATGCCTTTTCTTCTACTGGAAAGTCATCTGGTGTTTTATTTTGGATGCCTACTGGAACCATCCTGTGTTGTTTTTTTATATGTTTTGATATTGTCTGCTGTCTTTGGGACATTCATTAGTTATTTTCCTCGTTTACTGATTGTAGATTTTTTTGTTTCATCTTGCTTTTTTGTTTTATTTGGTTGTGTCTGAGCAGGCGGGCTATGCATTCTTTGTTGTTTGCTCTTCTGTGGGCATGATACTTTTTGCCTCCTTCTCCAATGGGCCTAGTCAGTTGCTCAGGTCTGGTACAGCAGGGCAGGTCCAACTGAAGGTGAGTTGCTGGGATTGGTTGTTTCTGGCACATAGTAGGGCTGACAGGGCAGACTGGGAATCAGTGTAGGGCAGGCTCTGATAGGCCATGCCTTTGCTGCTCAGGGGTGTGATGTTCAGTGCATGGTGCGAGTAGGCAGGAAGGAGGGAGAAGATTGTGATGTATGGAGCTAAGATGGGTATGAGAGAGAAGAGAGAGGAACAGGAGCCAAAGACATACAAACAAACAAAAAAGAATGCTAAGGGAGCTTGCCATTGGGGTGGAGAGATGGGAGACTCTGAAATGGAGGGAAAAAAGAGAAAAAAAAAGAAAGGGTAAAAGAAAAACATGAATAAATAAAAATTAGGGGAAAAAAAAAAAAGCCCCTAGGGATCCCACCAGTGCAGCTGAGAGGACTGGGGAAGTTGCTCCCAGGCCGTGTAGTACACCTGGCTAGAAGGAGCAGATGTGTCAGACAGTGCCAGATATTCAGGAGACAGGAAGAGAAGGTAAGTATAGAGAGATGCGAAACTGAGAAATGAAGAAAGACAAAAAGGGAAAAAGAGAGAAAAGAAAACAAAGAAAAACAACAACAAAAAACAAAAACAAGAAAAAAGAAATTCTCCCAGGGATCCCACTGCATGGCTGTTCAGACTGAGGGAATAGCTCCCAAGCCGCACAGTACTGCCCTGCTAGAAGGGGCTCCCAAGCCGAGAAAAGAAAAAGAAAACAAACATGCAAATCAAAACAGAACAAATCAAAACAAACAAACAAATAGCCCTGGGCATCCTACCAGCTTGGCTGCACAGGCCGGGAAGCAGTTCCACAGTTGAGTGGCATTTCACACCCTTTCAGGAAGAAGCAAAGATGGCACATGGAGCAAGGTAGTTGAGAGAAAGGAGGGGGAGGTGGTGAGGGGTATGGAAGAAACCAAAAGAAGTGGGAAAAGAGCAACACCAGCATCCAACAAATGGCACTCAGGGAGCTGGCCAGTGTGGTCGGGTAGAATCCAAGTGGCACAGGGGTGAAGCTGGTGCTTCCCAGCCAAGAGACTGGCCGCAGGAAGCAGAGAAGGCCACGTGGGAGTGAAGAAGGGTGGGAGTGGTAAAGTGTATATTGCTGGTTACCAATTGTTCTGTCTCCTGCTGGGAGCTCCGTGAAGCTGCTTTCCTGTACTCCCTGTTCGCCTATCTCCAACAGAAGTCCAAGATGGCGAATCTATGCTGCATTAGCTGAGAGGGGACCTCTGCATGTATCTCTCCTCAATCTCTGTTCTCCGTCAGTTTCTTATTCCATTCGGTGTTTGTCTGAGTTCTTTCTCTCTTCATTTGATGCTTAGGGTTTCAGGATTGATGTTTGTCTCTGAGTTAGTTTTTCGGATCTTTGCTGTGGAGGGACGGCGTGGTTTTTCTGTCAATAGTGCCATGTTGCCCAGAATTCCAAGGCCATAATATTTAATTTTAACTCCAAGAATGTGTTTTCTTTGAGGATTTCCAGATTTATGATGGAAGAGGATAGTTATTATTTAGCTAAGTTGCTTATACTAATGCTGTACCTGGCCTAGGGCCTAACTCACAGCAAGTGGTTAGAGAAATGTTTACCAAAATGAAATCATACATGTGAGGCTCTGAACATCGTACTTTACCTCTCTGAACTTCAGTTCTGACCTGTAAAATGAGGGGTTTTTGCACATGTAAACGCCCAGATACTTTCCAGCATTAATCAGTGAATTAATTTTAGCTTATATTTTTAATGTTTCATGCTTAGGTTGCATGGAGTTTTTCCTTAGACATATTGGAGATTATCCAGTTTTAACTATTATCATTCATCTCCACTAGCATCCTTCTGTATTATGAACTTCAGGGTAATCACAGTTATTTTTTTTTTAATTGTATATTTAATCAAATTTACTGTGAAAGAGACCAAATGACCAAACAAACAAAAATCTAGAACAGGAAAACTATACTTTCATTTAATTAGCATCCCATTACTATGAAATGCCTTTATAAAACATGACTCACTTTCTTCCTGCTACAATCAAGTATAGTTTTCATAAACTTGGAAACTCAAAACAAGTGCTATTTCTTCCGTATTATTTCATACTGACTTTTACTGCACATTCATCAAGTTTTTAATTTTTAATCACATTATGGCACTGGTAAGCTAGAGTCTTCTTATTTATTCTCCAACTTTAACTTTTAACTTTTTTCCTGTTTTTATAAATAATTTGCTACCAATAATTACCTGTAAACATTTTTGTACAGATAGTTACAGGTATGTTGAATTATTTCTTTGGAGACTATCCCTCTCATGGAGAGTATGTTTAGTTTTATCATTTTTGTTTCCTGTAGCTTTGAGCTTCTGGAAAGGACTTCACTAACTTGCAGTTTTGAGAGCAGTCTATGAATATGCCTATTAACCTCCCTCATAACTCACATTATAGTTTATAATTTTTTAGCATGGCTGTTGTTGTTGTTAGGTGCCATCAAGTCGGTCCTGACTCACAGAGACCCTATGAACAACAGAACAAAACCCTGCCCAGTCCTGTGCCATCATCACAATTGTTGCTATGTTCGAGCCCGTTGTTACAGCCACTGTGTCATTTGAGGGCTAGCTTAAGAAAAATGAGTTTTTCACAGTTTTTGAATTATTATTACTTTCTCTTTTTTAAAAATTTTTTATTGTACTTTAGATGAAGGCTTACAGAGCAAATTAGTTTCTCATTAAACAATTAATATTGTTTTGTGATATTGGTTGCCAACCCCACGACGTATCAACACTGTCCTCTTCTCGACCTTGGGTTCCCCATTACCAGCTTTCCTGTCCCCTCCTGCCTTGTTGTCCTGGCCCCTGGGCTGGTGTGTCCATTTAGTCTCGTTTTGTTTTATAAACCTATTCTTTCGCTGAAGGGTGAGCTTCAGGAGTGACTTCAGTACTGAGTTAAAAGGGTATCTGGGGGCCATACTCTTGGGGTTTCTCCAGTCTCTGTCAGAACAGTAAGTCTGGTCTTTTTTTGTGAGTTAAATTTTGTTCTACATTTTTCTCCAACTCTGTCTGGGACCCTCTATTGTGATCCCTGCCAGAACAGTCAGTGGTAGCCAAGCACCGTCTAGTTGTACTGGACTCAGTCTGGTGGAGGCTGTGGTAGTTGTGGTCCATTAGTTCTTTGGACTACTGTTCCCCTTGTGTCTTTGGTTTTCTTCATTCTCCCTTGCTCCAGATGGGGTGAGACCAATGGAGTATATTAGATGACCACTCACATATTACTTTCTCTTTTCTGTACTATTCATGAATGGAAGGAGAGCAGTGTTGTTTCAAAAGTATTCTAGGTGACTTACTTTGCTTTTAAAATGTCTAATTGTTTAGTTTTCTTCATATTCCTTTTGTCTGCTATTTCCTTTGTATATGCATGTTGTCTTAGTCATCTAGTGCTGCTACAACAGAAATACCACAAATGGATGGCTTTAACAAAGAGAAATTTATTTCTTCACAGTAAAGTAGGCTGAAAGTCCAAATTCAGGGTGTCAGCTCCAGGGGAAGGCTTTCTCTCTCTGTCAGCCTTCTCATCAATATTCCCCTGGACTAGGAGTGTCTCTGCACAGGGACTGGTCCAAAGGATGTGCTCTGCTCCCGGCACTACTTTCTTGATGGTATGAGGTCCCCCTGTCTCTCTGCTCACTTCTCTCTTTTGTATCTCAAGAGATTGCCTCAGGATACAATCCAATCTCGTAGATCCAGTTCTGCCTTACTAACACAACTGCCACCCATCCTTCCTCATTAACATCATAGAGGCAGGATTTACAACATACAGGAAAATCATACAGTACCAGGAATCATGGCCCAGCCAAACTGATACACACATTTTTTGGGGGACATAATTCAATCCATGACACACATGCTTATGAAAAATGAAAAGACTAGACACTGAATCAGGAGTTTGAATATTCTGTGACCCTTGTTTAAATAGGCCAAACTGTATCCAATTTAAAAGTTATGAATATAATAACTGCTATAAGATACTGTATGACAAAATATTTTATATCCCTAATAATGTCCTTTATACTTTACAACATTGAACAAATGTATATTATAATGAATTATTCCTGGACGTTTTCTTTTGGGAAACAATGACTTACCATAAACCAAGGTGACATTTTGGAGATAGAAGTTGCTGTTTTCTTTCAGCCAAGTTTAAAATAAAATTAAAGTCAGAACTTGAGCGTTGTGCTTACACATTTTGACCATTGCTTGTCCTTATTTCAAAATTATTGAGCAGTGCTTTTAGATTTTAACTCTATAGATAAAGAATAATTACTTTTCAGCCCCCATTATTCTAAATAGATGAGGTTATTTTCCAGATTTCAACAATCACTGATATTTAGCTGCTGTGTGTATTTGGTTAGTTGAAAGAAGCATTCAATTTTAAGTGTAAAACTAAATCAGTAAGGGAAATTGACATCATTTCTGTTGTCTTTTTTTTTTTTTATTTTAATGTTGAACTAAGATTTGTTGCTTGAGAAATCCATAATTTTGAGGAATAATTCTCTTTTATTCAATGATCTCACTCATTCTTTGAAAAAAATCAATCATCTGCAACTGATCCTTCATCATACTTCTTAGATTACCTTTGTTCTGTTTTTCAAGGTTAACGTTGCCTCAGACGATAGGACAGGTTTTCATTGAGAAACTAGCTGACTACATTCTGGTGAAAACAACCTTTGGTTTTTCATTGGCTTGGGATGGAATATCTGGAATTTACCTCAAACTGTCTGAGGAGCATAAAGGGAAATCGTGTGGCCTATGTGGAAACTACAATGGCATTCAGTCTGACGATTTCATAATTCAGCAAGGTAAGTAAGTGGAGCAAAATTATGTAGGTACTGTCTAAAGTTTTCTTTCACTGCCCAAGCTGTTTGCACCCAGAAGACTTGTCCTCGGTTGGGTAAAATTAGTGGTTGTCACTTGCCTGCTTTAGTGATTTTAAGCCTAGTGTAAATAGGAATACATTTTTATGTCAATTTTGAAAACCACAAGTGTAAAAATGACATGGAGGCAATGTCTGACCTCCTCTAATTTTACAAGGGGGAAGGAGAATCAAGATCAACAGCCCAAGGCTGATTCCTATGAGGCAGAGGTCAGCCATGCCTCCTCTCTCCAGCACCTTTACCAATGCTGACACCAGTTGTCCCGCCCATGGCACTCTCTACTTCTCTGCTGGGTTCGATAATTCATTGCAATGGCCACACAGAATTCACAGACCATACTCACAATTATGAGGTTTATTAGGGAAGTAATAACTTACAAATCAGGCTCAGGAACACTCAAGGATGCAGTTCTTACATCAGGACAGCCTCTTCCCTGGCATGCTTACAGGCACACCTCTCCCTGGCCCTAGGCACTCAGCTCCCTCTCTCCGTGGGCCAGGAAGCCCACTGCACTGTCTCCTGTGGGTCTCTCCTGTGAGTCTCTCCTGCCGGTCTTTCCTTCCTTGGTGATGGTGGGCTCTTCTCTCTCCTGCCTTGGAGATGGCTCACCTCAAGCCCAGTGGGATGGTAAAAACTGACCAATTCCTTTGGTGGGCCACAATTACCCTATCACACAGTCCTACCCAGTCACTTGGGTGGGAGTTACAAGACTATGGCTAGAAAGGCCACACAACAGTGATCCATCACACGACAACAAGTTAGTTTACATTTGCTAAATTAAGATACAGGATTCACTTATATAACAAATATTAATCGAACATTTACTTCATGCCAGGCACTGCTGTAGGAACATGGGATACATCAGTAAACAAAATAAAGATCTCTGCCCTCAAGGAGCTTACCTTCTAGTTATTCAAACCCATTTGGAGGCAAATGTGTCTACATTAGGATGAAAGCTGTTTTGCATCTAGTCTTAATAAGTACTAATTAAATGACTGAAAAATAAAAGTTTTATAAATTAAGATAATGAAATGTAAGCAAGGTTATACAAATTGAATAGTAATTTGGAAAGTCTTTATAATGTGTAACCAGACCCTGGAGAAGGACCTCATGCTTGGTAGAGGGTCAGCTAAAAACAGGAAGACGCTCAGTGAGATACATTGACACAGTGGCTGCAAAAATGGGTTCAAGCATAACAGTGATCATGAGGATGGTGCAGGACCTGGCTGTGTTTCATTGTCTTGTACATGGGGTCACTATGAGTTGGAAGTGACTCGATGGCACCTAACAACGATGATGAATCTAGCTATTCATTTTAAGTCATGAGTAGTTAGTGGATTATAAGTGGGGGAGACTGGCAGGAAGCAATTGAGCAAGGCAAGAAGTATGTGGGAAGAGTCTAAAGAGAGATTTCAGCTTCTTTGAAATTTTATTTGGTGCATAATGATAGGTGGAATAGTAAAAATCCTAATTTACAACCATTTCTACAGACATGTCTAGAAACTGCCCTCGATTTTCTCCCATACTGCAATCATGCAGGAAAATGTCTACAGATAAACTGTATTGCCTTTACCTTTAAGATGCCTCTTATTTTCTTGAAACTTATCCTGTACTTTGCTGATTCGATAAATCTTTGGAGGCAGTTAGACAGTTTGATGAATGCCATTAAATGCGTAGTTTTTTTTTTATCAGTGATTAAGATTGCATTTCTTTGTGCAACCTTCTCATTCTTCAGGGATGACTTCACAAAGAAATGAAGCTTTTCAGAATTTCTGTGAATATAGGAAGATTTTAATTTGTGTTCCTAGCGACCCTATAGGACAGAGTAGAACTGCCCCATAGGGTTTCCAAGGAGTGGCTGGTGGATTTGAACTGCCGACCTCTTGGATAGCAGCTGAGCTCTTACATTCTAATTTTGGTTTAGTAGAATCCAGATAGCTAATTGATATGGATTTAAGTTCTCATAATAATTAACAACTTTCGTGACTCTTATTGATACAACATAGTAAAAAAAAGCTAAATATGTGGTTCAAAAGCTGGAGTTAATATGAACTCCAAGGGATTGCCACTGTTGTTTAGTAACACTAAAATTTGGGCATAAATACTGAAATACGTGGACCTTTAGGAAGTATTTTTGGTTCTGCAGACATTTAAAAAATGATAATGTTTTGAAATAAAATGTGATTCAGTGTGTAACATTTTCAACAATGTCTGAGATAATGAAGCAAGTAGACCAAACACATTTGAAAGCTCTAGGATGCTAATAATCTACTTAATGAATATTGAAAACTTTTCTGTGTTTACTTATTCAGTTATTTAGCAAATGCATTTTGAGCACCGAGTAGATGCTAGGCACTAACTAAGGACCAAACAATAGAACAACTAAAACAAGCTCCCTCCCTCCATGTAGTATATATTGTAGTGAAGGACAAAATAAATAAAGAGGTAAACAAACTGAAATATAACTTTAGTGGGCAATAACAGCCATAAAAAAAGCAAAGTGGAGAAAGAGTAATAAAGCAGTGTGTGGTCAGTGGTAGTCTAGATCCTGTGGCAGAGAAGGCCCCTCTGAGGATGTCACATTGAACATATGCCTAAGTCAAGTGAGGAAGGGAGCCATGGGAAGATTTGAGGGAAGAATGTTTTTGAAAGAGGAGGAGCAAGTGCAAATGTCCTGAGGTAGGAATGAGCTTGGAATCCTTGGGTAGTGCAAACCATAAACATGCTCAGATGCAAAATGAAAGGTTGGAAGTTTGAGTCCATCTAGAGTCACATTGGAAGAAAGGCCTGGCAATCTATTGCCAAAGAATCAGCCCTTGAAAACCCTGTGGAGCACAAAGTTCTACTCTGACACGCATGGAGTCACCATGAGTCAAGGATGACTCGACAGCAACTGGTTTTAGGAGTGAACTTGGGTATCTGAAGAACAGCATAAAGCCAGGATGACTGGAGCAGACTGAATAAGAATAAAAGATGGTGGTGGTGTTTAGGGGCCAGAGTTTTTCCAACTACAGTAAGGTTTGGGATTTTATATTAAGAGAGAAAAGCATGTTCTTCCCAGTGATTGGTGGTAGCATGTGGACATTATATTCCCATGTTGAAGATGCTGAGAGAGTATGGTGAAACCTTTGGCTTGAGAACAGAGCCAGGAATACATATGTGGTGAGGAGATATTTGATTCTAGTGGTGCCATAGATTATCATCAATGGTAGACTTTATGGTCATGTAAATCTAGGTGATGGAGAATCTGCAGTGCAAATCAGAAGACTAACTGGCTTAGACAGAACTTTGAGATGTCACTGTTTGGTTCAGCCAAGTCCTTGAGATTTGATATTCAGCCTTTGTCTCAATCTGGGGCAGGATTAATTTGCATGTCAGACTCTGAATGTGTTCTGAGAAGCCAGCTGCTGAGAAGTTTAAACTTGATATGGAGCCAAGAATCCAGAGAGCTCACTGCCAACTGTTTGTTGTTACCTATATATTAGCTCCGAATAATACTAGGATAAACTTCCTGATTCTTAACATTGGGCTCTGTCCTCAGCATATTTCAAAAAACAGTTCATCATATTCTGATGAAATGGATTCGCTTCTTAGTTTTCTCTTCTCCAAGTGTTTTTCCCAGTTTTTAATCATCTGTGTGACTGTCCTCTGAAATCTCTTCAAGGGCTCAACAAAGATAGTTTTTATTGTTGTCGTTGTTAGGCGCCGTCAAGTCGGTTCTGACTCATACTGACACTATGCACGCCAGGATGAAACAGTGCCTGGTCCTGCAATGTCATGGATTGAATTATGTCCCCCCAGAAATGAGTGTATCAGTTTGGCTGGGCCATGATTCCTGGTACTGTGTGATTTTCCTATACGTTGAAATCCTGCCTCTATGATGTTAATGAGGGAGGATGGGTGGCAGTTGTATTAGTAAGGCAGAACTGAATCTACAGGATTGGATTGTATCCTGAGGCAATCTCTTGAGATATAAAAGACAGAAGTGAGCAGTGAGACAGAGGGACCTCACATCATCAAGAAAGCAGTGCCAGGAGCAGAGCATGTCCTTTGGACCGGGGTCCCTGCGCAGAGAACCTCCTAGTCTGGGGGAACACTGATGAGAAGGCCGAGAGAGAGAAAGCCTTCCCCTGGAGCTGACACCTTGAATTTGGACTTTTTGCCTACTCTACTGTAAGGAAATAAACTTTTCTTCGTTAAAACCATCCACTTGTGGTATTTCTGTTATGGCAGCACTAGATGACTAAGACACGCACCATCCTCACAATTATTGTTATTCTTGAGCTGATTGTTGCAGCCACTGTGTCAATCCATCTCCTTGAGGGTCTTCCTCTTTTTGCTGACCTTCTACTTTACCAAGCATGATGTCCTGCTCCAGGGACTGATCCCTCCCGATAACATGTCCAAAGTATGTGAGACGTAGTCTCACCATCCTTGCTTCTAAGGAGAATTCTGGTTGTACTTCTTCCAAGACAGATTTGTCCGTTCTTTTGGCAGTCCATGGTATATTCAATATTCTTCACCAACACCACAATTTAAAGGTGTCAATTCTTCTTTGGCCTTCCTTATTCATTTTCCAGCTTTCATATGCATATGAGGCAATTGAAAACACCATGGCTTGGGTCAGGCGCACCTTAGTCCTCAAGGTGACATCTTTGCTTTTCAACAGTTTAAAGAGGTCTTGTGCAGCCAGTTTGCCCAATGCAGTGCACCTTTTGATTTCTTGATTGCTGCTTCCGTGGGTGTTGATTATGGATCCAAGTAAAATGAAATCCTTGACAACTTCAATGTTTTCTCCATTTATCATGATGTTGCTTATTGGTCCAGTTGTGAGGATTTTTATTTACTTATGTTGAGGTGTAATCCATACTGAAGGCTGTGGTCTTTCATTTTCATCAGTAAGGGTTTCAAGTCCTCTTCACTTTCAGCAAGCAAGGCTGTGGTATCTGCATAATGCAGGTTATTAAGGAGTTTTCCTTCAATCCTGATGACAGGTTCTTCATATAGTCCAGCTTCTCAGATTATTTGCTCAGCATACAGATTGAATAGGTATGGTGAAAGGATACAACAGTGACGCATGTCTTTCCTGACTTTAAGCCATGTAGTATTCCCTTGTTCTGTTCGAATGAATGCCTCTTGATCCATGTACAGATTCCTCATGAGCACAATTAAGATTAAGTGTTCCGGAATTCCCATGCTCCACAAAGTTATCCATAATTTGTTCTGATCCACACAGTCGGACACCTTAGCGTAGTCAATAAAACAGGTAAACATCTTTTTGGTATTCTCTGTTTTCAGCCAGGATCCATCTGACATCAGCAATGATATCCCTGGTTCCACGTCTTCTTCTAAATTCAGCTTGAATTTCTGGCAGTTCCCTGTTAATATACTACTGCAGCCGCTTTTGAATGATCTTCAGCAAAATTTTGCTTGCATGTGACATTAATGATATTCTTCAATAATTTCCAAATTTGGTTGGATCACCTTTCTTGAGATTATACATAAATATGGATCTCTTTCAGTCAGTTGGCCAGGTAGCTGTCTTCCAAATATCTTGGCATAGAGGAGTGAGCGCTTCCAGCATTGCATCCATTTATTGAAACATCTCAATTGGTATTCCGTCAATTTCCGGAGCCTTGTTTTTCTGTCAATGCCTTCAGTGCAGCTTGGACTTCTTCCTTCAGTACCATTGGTTCCTGATCATATGTTACCCCCTGAAATGGTTGAACGTCAACCAGTTCTTTTTGGTATAGTGACTCTGTGTATTCCTTCCATCTTCTTTTGACGCTTCCTGCGTCATTTAATATTTGCCCTGTAGAATCCTTCAGTATTGCAACCCGAGGCTTGCAATTTTCCTTCAGTTCTTTCAGCTTGAAAAATGCTGAGCGTGTTCTTCCCTTTTGGTTTTCTGTCTCCAGATTTTTGCACATGTCATCATAATACTTTACTTTGTTTTCTCGAGCCGCCCTTTGAAATCTTCTGTTCAGCTCTTTTACTTCATCATTTTTTCTTTTGCTTTAGCTATTCGATATTCAAGAGCAAGTTTCAGAGGCTCTTCTGACATCCATTTAGGTCTTTTCCTTCTCTCTTGTCTTTTTAATGGCCTCTTGCTTTCTTCATGTATGATGTCCTTGATGTCATTCCACAACTTGTCTGGTCTTCGGTCATTAGTGTTCAATGTGTCAAATCTTTTCTTGAGGTGGTCTCTAAATTCAGGTGGAATATGCTCAAGGTTGTACTTTGTCTCTCGTGGACTTGTTCTAATTTTCTTCAGTTTCAACTTGAACTTGCGTATGAGTAATTGATGGTCTGATCCATAGTCAGCCCCTGGCCTTGTTCTGACTAATGATATTGAGCTTTTCCAGAGTCTCTTTCCACAGATGTAGTCAATGTGATTCCTGTGTATTCCGTCTGGCAAGGTCCATGTGGATAGTCTCCATTTATGTTGTAGAAAAAAGGTATTTGCAATGAAGAAGTTGTTGGTCTTGCAAAATTCAATCATATGATCTCTGGCATTGTTTCTATCACCAAGGCCATATTTTCCAAACTCTGGATCCTTCTTCTTTGTTTCCAACTTTCACATTCCAATCGCCAGTAATTTTCAGTGCATCCTGATTGCATGTTCGATCAATTTCACACTGCAGAAGTTGGTAAAATCTGCAATTTCTTCATGTTTGGCTTTAACAGTTGGTGTGTAAATTTGAATAATAGTATTAACTGGTCTTCTTGTAGGCATTTGGATATTATTCTATTACTGACAGCGTTGTACTTCAGGATAGATCTTGAGATGTTCTTTTTGACGATGAATGCAGTGCCATTCCTCTTCAAGTAGTCATTCCCGGCATAGTAGATCATATGATTGTCTGATTCAAAATGACTAATACCAGTCCATTTCAGCTCACTAATGCCTAGGGTATTGATCTTTATGTGTTCCATTTCATTTTTGACGATTTCCAATTTTCCTGGATTCATACTTCATACATTCTAGGTTCTGATTATTAGTGGATGTTTGCAGTTGTTTCTTCTCCTTTTGAGTCATGCCACATCAGCAAATGAAGGTTCCGAAAGCTTGACTCCATCCATGTCATTAAGGTCGACTCTACTTTGAGGAGGCAGCTCTTCCTCAGTCGTGTTTTGAGTGCCTTCTAACCCGAGGGGCTCATCTTCTCGCACTATATCAGATAATGTTCTGCTGCTATTCATAAGGTTTTCACTGGCTAATTCTTTTCAGAAGTAGACTGCCGGCTCCTTCTCCTTAGTCTGTCTTACTCTGGAAGCTCAGCTGAAAGCTGTCCACCATGGGTGACCCTGCTGATATTTGAATACTGGTGACATAACTTCTAGCATCACAGCAACATACAAACCCCCACAGTACAACAAGCTGACAGAAGCGTGGAGGAGTTTTTATCGTAGAGGACCCCAAAATGGAACTGGGATCTTAGTAAGGTTCTGATCAGTGTCTGAATAATGAGAGGGCTGTTTCAGAAATGTCACACCAAATTTTTACTTTTCTTTCTTGGTTTTATGTTTATTTTCCCTCTTCTCTCCAAAACAAATTCTGTGTTGGCTAACTTGAACTTTACTAGTATGTATGTTGTATCTGCTCACTTTCAGTCCTTCCCCATCTTGTTTCATTGCAGTTTACTTTTTTCTCTCCAATTGTACTAATTTTATTTGCTACTTTGTTCAATTTATTTTTATTATATCAAAGTAATATTATAGTCTAATATCGTTGGTTAATTGTAAAGTTACTGAGTTTCTCTTTCTGACCAGAAGTTTTATGCTGAGGAACTGTGTCTATGCTTGTGGAAAATGATACTCTTATACTTATTATTATTATTGTTATTATTTTGTGTGCATTTGTTTGAAATAGAGGACTATACAGAAGACATTGCTATGTTTGCAAATAGTTGGATGGTGCAAACTCCAGATGATACCAAATGTGTACCCATACCCTCAGATTTTCCAAGTCCATGCTCAAGTGGAATGCCAGCATTTGAGGTAAATTTGATGTAAAAAAATTGGGGCCTGCTGAGCATAACACAAACATATATACTCTTTGTATAGTTATCCTTAAGCATTTTTAGTGCAAACTTAACATAATTCCAAACTATTAAATCAAAGAAGTGTAATTGCAGCAGAGAATAACATTAAGGTTATTATAGAAATAGTGAATGTAATGAGTTCATAAAAGCAGTACTCATTATGCAAAAATATAGTTAGAAAAGTGTTAGTTAAAATTTATAAGAATAAATTACCCTTTCTTTTGTGGTAAGAACTAAGAGTGTTGCAAATAAATCAGTAAGGAAAATGAGAGTACACACATATCATTAAATACGTTCTGGTGACTGGCATCTTTTTCCACACAGGCCATCTTCTTCAAGTGTCAGATACTGTTGCAGTTTCCTTTTCTCAGCTGCCATGAATATATTGATCCCTATTTATATATTGCCAGCTGTGTTAATGATCTTTGCAAGTAAGTGAAATGATTAGCCTTTACAGTAAAGTTTTCTTTATCCAAAAAAGGACAAAAGACACTTCTGTAACTTGGCCATGTTCTGACAGGTCACAAAATATATAATGGGAAATGAAAATATAAGCTATAGTATCAGCTCTTGAAAGCTTACTGTATAAAAGACACTGTTAAGAGGTTTAAGCTTATCAAAGGTAGGCCCCTGGGTGGCGCAAATGGTTTGCATTTGCCTACTAACCTAAAGGCTGGCAGTTTAAACCCACTCAGCGGCCCAGTGGAAAAAAATCCTGATGATCTGCTTCCATAAAGATTACAGCCAAGAAAACCCTATGGAATAGTTCTTTTTTTTTTATAACGTATGGTGTCACCATGAGTCAGAATCGATTGGATGGCAACGAATTTGGTTTTGTTTTGGTAGGGTAGACCATGGTCCTTATTTAATCATGAGTATGGAATTGAAAATCGTGCTTATGCCACAATGACTCATTCTTAGACCATTCTTCAATAGTTTTCTCACTTGCCTTGTCATGATCAACTTTAGCACCCATTTCTCCAGTAGGCTGAGATGAAGTATCATTTGGTATGCTCAGGCAAGTCATCCTCCATTTATTAGGACGCTGTTGGGCTGCTTTAACAGCCAAAGCAGCAGTGGCTTAAACGAAATTGAACATTTATATTTCTCTCATATGAAGTCCAAACTGGTAGGTGGCCTTGGGTTGGTACCATGCCTCTGTTCCATGAATTTTGCAATGACTCATCTAGTTTCTACACCATCACCCAGGGCCTATGATATTATTCTCAATTTCATAGTCAGAACTGGCTCTTCACTACCATGTTCTCATGTCAGCCCTTATGAAGGGAAAAAAGGAAGTAGAGGGCTGACAGCTCTTTTTAAAGAAGTGACTTTTAAGTTTCATGTACCACAGTCACTTTTAACCCCCTGGCCAGAACTTAGAAACAGGGTCACACCTAGATGCAAAGGAGCTGGAAAATGTTATCTTTGACTGGGTAGCCATATGCCCAGCGAAAACTTGAGAGTTCTAATATTGAAAAGAAGAAAGGGGATTGGATATGTTAGGGGACAAAAAGCAGTCTCTACCACACCCACTTCATCTGAAGTGTCATCATTAGGAAATTAACATCTTTAAAAATTTTGATATCGTCAGGCTTTGGATTTCGAAACTTTGATGCTTTCCCTAAGACAAAGAAAAATAGCAGTTAAAGAGAAGCACCTTTTACTAGCTGATATCAGCTGACATAAGATAAATGTTTGATGTGGAGAGGCAGGGTTTAGGGGGCAGAGCAGGCATGCAATACCAAGGGAAAGGCATTATCGAGTAAGTAGACATCGATCAAAGGGGAGTGAGATGCTGCCTCAATAACTTCACCTAGGACAAATCTACCTACATTCGTCCTCCTAGAGGAGATTCTCTTCACTTCCTCTATTAGGGAACTGCATCATAAGGTTACCATAGCATGAGAATGAAAAGGTGAATCAGCTGAACATACATTAATTTGATTCAATAATATCTTGAATTAAATCAACACACATGAAGTCCCTGGGTGGTACAGTTAATGCACTTGGTTGCTATCTGAAAGGTTAGAGGTTGAATCTACCTAGAGGCACCACCGAAGAAAGGCCTGGTGATCTCGAAAACTCAACCGTTGAAAACCATATGGGGACAGTTCTACTCTGACACATATGGGCCTGTCATGAGTCAGAATCACTCCACAGCAACTGTTTATTATTTTTTCCTGAAAATCTGTTTTGAGCTGGGCATCGTGCCACACATTGGAGGAACAGAAACAATTAAGACATGTCCCTGTCCCGAGAACTTGTATTCTAACAGCGCAGAGAAAGGTTATCAGGGAGTGCCTATGAAGGCTCCACAAAGGAGACTGTGTTTGAGTTGGAACTTGAAGGATAATACAGTACCAATCCTTGAAATTAAGCCCTCCTGTTTCTGCTTCTAAGAATGCTAAACCTAACAGCGAGGAAATGGCTTTAATTATGCTATGCCAAAGTTGATTGATTTAAAAACTATTGGTCAGTACTTCTTTTCCTTATTAAATATAACATCCAAAATAGAAAAAATAAGTTCACGTCCCGCCCAGTAAATTGTGATAATAATGTTTTTCTTGCCCAATTGTTGTGACTTTTTTTGAGATCCTTCCTGTAATGTGCCTAGCACAGTACCTAGAGTAACACAGACAGTGTTGTGTTGTCGTTAGGTGCTGTCGAGTCGGTTCCGACTCATAGTGACCCTACGTACAACAGAATGAGATACTGCCCGGAAATGAGAGCTATTCTATTAATAATTGCACTGAGTTGGAAAACCAATATTCGGTTACTTTGCTAACTTTCAAAGCCACCAAATAATTATAGGAAGCAACACACGTATTTTAAAGCAATTCACAAACTTACGTCTTTCCAGGAATTAAACAATTTTAGCTTACACGGTTTTACAAAGAGAGTTTTCTTGTCTGGAGGTTTAGAATATTTTCTGAGCTTTTGAAGTTTTTATGCTCAGTCTTTTTTTCCTCCTAAAGCTCAGTTAATTAGATTCGATAAGTTGTATGACTCCAATTACAGTAACACAGGATAAGGGCTATTTGAGACGGTGGCTTTTACAATAGTGATACTGAAAATGTTAATGTTCACAGAATACAACATTCTTAAGGTCATTATCTTGTAAGATATTTAACTGTTCAATCTTGAATTTGGGTTGGGTTGAAAAACAAATCCACTGCTTTATTATAAACCCTGATTATTTTATAGGTGCCTTGTTAATCTGCTTTGGAAACTGGTAGAACTCTTACAATAAACGATTGTTTGGGGAAGCTTATAAAGTGATTATAAAAAATACAGATTATTTACTTTTGAAGTAAAGTTATAAAAATGATTAGCTTTTATAATTTAAACTTGAAAGAATTCAAAATCTTATTTTAAATATTAACTTAAAAGCTATATTTAATCTTTCACAAATGCTTTGGAATCTTACTAAGAGGACCTTCAAGGAACAATGAAAATATTTTTGGGTTCTACCATGTATTGATTTTTAATCCAGTTTTGGTCTATCAAAATTGTGACATCTTAGAAATAATTTTCCTATTTGATGCTTTTGTTGTGATAGGATTTTATTTTTCTAATAGAATTTATTAAAATCTAAAGGTCTGTGATGCTTTTTGGGGACCAAAAAAAAAAAAAAAAAAAAACGAAGATTCTGGCAAGAATGTCAAAATTAAAATAGAAATCATTTTTAGTGTAGATAGTCCCTTGACTCAAAAGAAAAGTAGCCAAAATATTGACAGATTTTGATGAAGACAATCTATCTAGACCATTATGGCTGGAATTCCAAGTTTATTTGTTTTCTACATTACTGTGCTTCATAGGATGTATTATGAGAGACATACGTGCAGACATCAGTTAATTTTGGTGTATTCACCACACTCAGCATCATTAGGTAACAGGAGCTCAGCAGCATACTTTCTATCAATATTTCCTGTGTGATTCTGGTTCTATTTTTTTACTTTCCAGAACTGATGACGATGATACCTATTGTCGAGCAGTCACAGAATATGCGAGAGCCTGTTCTCATGCTGGCTATCCTATTCAAGACTGGAGAGATGACTTTCCAGCTTGCAGTATGTTTTCTTATTTTCCAAGTCCTGTGTGTTGTTGTTGTTAGGTGCCGTCAAGTTGGTTCCGAGTCATAGCAACCCCAGGTACAACAGAACAAAACACTGCCTGGTCCTGCGCTATCCTCACAGCTGTTTCTATGTTTGAGCCCATTGTTGCAGACACTGTGTCAATCCATCTCGTTGAGGGTCTTCCTATTTTTCACTGACCCTCTACTTTACCAAGCATGATGTCCTTCTCCAGGGACAGGTCCCTTCTGATAACATGTCCAAAGTACAGGAGTCAAAGTCTTGCCACCCTTGCTTCTAAGGTACATTCTGGCTATATTTGTTCCAAGATAGATTTGTTCATTCTTCTGACAGTCCATGGTATACTCCGTATTCTTTGCTAACACCATAATTCAAATGTATCAGTTCTTCTTTGTGGTCTTCCTTATTCATTGTCCAGCTTTTGCATGCATATGAGATGATTGAAAATACCATGGCTTGGATCAGGTGCCTTAATCCTCACAGTGACGTCAAGAGTTGATGGAATTAAAGGAAGAAGTCCAAGCTGCGCTGAAGGCATTGGTGAAAAATAAGGCTCCAGGTATTGATGGAATACCAGTTTAGACGTTTCAACAAATGGTTGCAATGCTGGAGGCGCTCACTGGTCTATGCCAAGAAATTTGGAAGAGAGCTACCTGACAAACCGACTGGAAGGATCGATATTTGTGCCCATTCCAAAGAAAGGTGATACAAAAGAATGAGAAAATTATCATTAATGATAATGATAATATCATTAAAATCACATGCAAGTAAAATTTTACTGAAGATAATTAAAAAACAGTTGCAGCAGTACATCAACAGGCAACTGCCAGAAATTCAAGCTGGATTCAGAAGATGATGTGGAACCAGGGATATCATTGCTGATGTCAGATGGACCTTGACCAAAAGCAGAGAATACCTGAGTTTTATTGACTATGGAAAGCCATTTGACTGTGTGGATCATAACAAATTGTGGATGACATCGTGAAGAATGGCAATTCCAGAACACTTAATTGTGCTCATGTGGAACCTGTACATAGAGCAAGAGGCAGTTGTTCAAACAGAACAAGGGGATACTTCCTGGTTTAAAATCAGGAAAGGTGTGCATCAGGGTTGTATACTTTCACCATACTTATTCAATCTGTATACTGAGCAGATAATCCGAGAAGCTGGACTATATGAGGAACATGGCATCAGGATTGGAGGAAGACTCATTAACAACCTGTGATATGCAGATGATACAACCTTGCTTGCTGGAAGTGATGAGGACTTGAAGCTCTCACTGATGAAGATCAAAGACTACATCCTTCAGTATGGGTTATACCTCAACATAAAGAAAATAAAAATCCTCACAACTGGACCAATAAACAACATCATGATAAACGGAAAATATTGAAGTTGTCAAGGATTTCATTTTACTTGGATCCACAATCAACGCTCATGGAAACAGCAGCCAAAAAATCAAACAACACATTGCATTGGGCAAATCTGCTGCAAAAGACCTTTTAAAGTGTTAAAGAACAAAGATGTCACTTTGAAGACTAAGATGTCACTAAATCTTGTGTACTTTTGTTAATTTTAGGCTTATTCTGGTACTGGAAAATTATATAGTGCTCAAAATTAATGATTTGCAAATATTTGTTATTGATGCAAATATAAGTGATTTGTAAACTTGTATACTTTTTGAAACACAGTAATTGTTTTTTTTTTTCAGTCTGTCAAGATATTTTTTTTCTTGTACTTTAGGTGAAGGTTTCCCGAATAAATAGTTTCTCATTAAACAGTCAGTACACATATTGTTTTATGACATTGGTTAACAACCCCACCACATGTCAACACTCTCCCTTCTCGACCTCCCTTGTCGATTTTTTTTTTTTTTTTGGTGAAAATAATAGATCGCCAAAGATACACCATTTCAAAAATTTCTACATGTGCAATTCAGTGACATCGATTACGTTCTTCCAGTTGTGCTGCTATTCGCACTTTAGATGAAGGTTTACAGAACAAAATAGTTTCTCATTAAACAGTACAC